TATCTTTTTTATACAATCTTCTAATATCTTTGTTTACATCACTATAAATGACACTTTTAAATCAATACAAGCTTGGGAATGTTCCTATCGTATTTTCCATACACTTTTCATACCTAAATCTGTCGCAGATTGAGTTATAGTTAATTCAGCGAATTTATTTTTAGAACCTTAGTCAACTAATGCAACTTCCCTGAAGCGAATAGTTTCATTTCGGAAATGGGCAAAGAGTTACAAAGAATTACAAAAAAAAAATTTTTTTACCTGCCTCTCTGAGCACGCTTAATACGAAATATTAAATTTTATAATCTATTGTGTCCACACGATGTTACATAAGATATGCCGCGAACCCCGCCATTTCTTATAACTACATTTTCGGGCGCAATCGCCGTGACTTTTTCGTTATTATGCTCATTAATAGAGGTCGTTAGTAATAGTTTCTTCAATTATTACAATTCTTCACGTTACACGAGTGCTTTTGTATTTGATATAGCAGACTTGTTCGGACGATTTTGCACTATTTTTAATGATTTACAGTAGAGACATAAAATTTCAAGTAAACTATTTATTTTGTTGGTAAATCCAAGTCGTGGAATATAGTTCATACTGCAATATTTTTTACATAGCTCATTGCTTTTTACTTTAAATTTATTTTAAACATACAACTGCAAAACTGAACCGCTATTTTATTTATATGAATATGTGTACAAACATACATACATATATATGTATATTATATGGTATATAGATTTCTTTAATACGAATAGCCTAGCTTTCACATATTCAGCATGACTAAATGTAAAGTTGCGCAAATGTTTACTTGTCGAATAAGTCTCAAGAATCCTTAATAAATGAAGTCTCTTATCAGTTCAATTATGCAGGCAAAAAACGTGAATACTTCAACTACAAGTATAATGTTCAATACGAATGAAAACAGCCCGGTAGTAAATTGTATGTGTGCTTTAATATGTTTGTAATTCATTGATCGGAAAGTCGATAGTTTATGACATAAAAAAAATAATAATAATAATTATTATAGGATGAAACTCATTGGAAAAAAGTGAATATAACAGAAATGAACGCAATAATAATTTGCGATTCTGAGTTCGGTTATTTTTGAGTTTTGTAAGAAATTTCAACGTTAGTTAAATATATTATATTTACTTATTAATAAATAACAATTTGATTGGCTTTGTGGTCTCAAGCATTTAAAATGAGCAGAGATTCAAACTTAAAATATTTGAAGTCATTAGGTACAATTTTAGTCAAAAATATGTGAGTTCAATCACCATCTGCGTACAATCTTCTATCGCAACCAAATATTGGCGTAATCCATTTGAATCAGAAGAACTGTAAAAATTAACACAAGTTATCTTAAACACCAGCTATTCATAAACACAAAAACCTTACACTCGAGTTTGTGCATGCATTTATAAAATAGTGTATATTTTATTTATATTGTGTTTTTCCTCTTAAATATTTAATATGGTATTATTTCTATTAAACTAGCAAACGGTAATAGTTTGCATAATTTGTGTGACAAAAACAAAATGGATTTATGCTACTGTTTATGCAAATCGGTAAAACACCCCATAATATTACATAGAAAAACCTCAGGCAATTGCAACATATGCATATGTCATTTATACGCCAACTACTACCGACTGCCGCTACTTAAACATACCCACATAACTACTTACATACATATATACATACAATATATATGTGCATAAATGTCTTTTGCAAAAATGACTAAAACATATCACGTGCACTTGAGAGTCTACTTATATTGAAATTCAAAATACCAATGGAAAAACTATCAATCACTCATTCATTCGTTTGATTTACTCGATTTATATTTATGAGTAGGAGTAAATGCAAGTATGCGAGTGTCAACGAACGCCACAACGATGTGTACTATATACCTATGCATTTTCCATTTGAAGAACTATTGCCTTAACCCATTAGTGGCAAGACTTGAAGATTTTAGAGTAGGGCTCTAAAAATTTGCATAGAGGTGTGATAAGAGAAAAAATGGCTCTAATTAGTTATTCATAATGCTTAGACGACATACAATTCATTGGATGAATTTATATGATTTTAAATACTTATTGCATTCAAACGAGTTACATTTAACAGGTAACAAGGGGACGACTATCAATCACTCATTCTGATACGTTTGATTAACTCGATTTATATTCATGACTACACGTAAATGCAAGTGTCAATGAACGCCACACCGATGTGTACTATATACCGATGCATTTTTCCATTTGCAACCACTGATTTAACCCTTTTGTTGCGAGACATGTAGATTTTAGTGTAGGGCTCTGGAAATTTGCATAGCGGTGTCACAGAAAAAGAATTCAATACGGCTTGAATTAATTATTTACAATGTTTTCTATTCTATTTTGTCTAATAGAATGTTCTTATTATCATGCAAAAGAGTTACATTATCGGATAACAAAGTTCGCATTCGAGCAACTATCAATCGCTCTTTCATTCGTTTGATTTAGTGAATTTATATTTATTAGTACGAGTAAATGCAAAAATGCGAGTGTCAACGAACGCCACATCTATGTGTACTATATGCCTATGGATCTTTCCTTTTAAAGGACTAGTGCGTTAACTCATTGTGTAAGCTTTTGAAAATTTGCATAAAGCAGTGGTGGAAGATAAAAAAAAATTAACTATAATTATTAAATAAGGATCGTCCTATCAGCTAAATTTGTGTTCTTCCAAATATTAGTACTTTAAATATGAAATCTTTATTTTATTTTGACTTCCAACTCACATTCGGGTCGTCGAAATTTTAGTAATCTTACCTCAAAATCTTTCTTTATTAGGCAGTGTAACGCTCAAATTACAGGCTTTTTTCAATTTCTATAACAACTTATGCATTAGAGCGAAAAAAATTACGAAATTTTTTATTTGAGAACCTGTGATAGCAAAATTTAAATTTACCTTTTCCAAAATCAGGCAGAATTCGCGGCATAAAGTTTTTCACCATAAGCCTCAAAGCAATCTGATCTTATTACCCGCGATTTCAGATCATACCTATAAGAAATGTTTCTCAGATATTGATCAAAAATTTGTTGCCTACCTTTAGGCTGACTATGAAAGAAAATTATTTCGTTTCGGATTTACTTTTTTTATATTACATTTTAATGAATTAGCAAAAATACTTTAAAAAAATTTAATAATTAAATACTTTTTTAAATTAATTTTTTTCTTAATTTTATTTGTTTTTTTAATTTTTTTTTATTTATATTTTTTTTTTAATTTTTTTGTATAGTTATTTTTTATTTTTTTTTTAAATTAATTGAATTCAATATTATTTAAAATGTTTATAAAATAATATTAAAACTGGAGTACTGAAAATTTTAAAATGTCTTTATTTGTAAGTCTAACTTACAATTTATTCATCGTTGAGTAGCTCTTGCAGCTTATTGATGTTGCTAAACAATGTGTCAGTAACATGTGTTTAACTACATAACTTAATTTATAGTAATTTTTTAATTTTTTTTTCCATTCGTGAACATTGCAGTTTATTGATGTTGCTAAACAATGTATCAGCGACATGTGTCTATGTCATGCATATAGGAAACTTAATTTATAGTAATTTTGTATATATGTGCCTTCCTACATCTATCTCTATGAAGGTTTAATTAATGTGCTGGAGAATTAAAATAGTACATGATTTAATGGAAATTTTCACATTGCCAACATCCTGTTTCACGCACTTACATATTTACAATTTACGCACATTCACTTTTGAAAGCTCGAGAATGTCAGTTACTAGCTTGCCAGTTATTTTGTGTGTATGTATGGTATGTAGGTATGTCTGTCTGTCTGTCTGTCTGTCTGTCTGTCTGTCGCTACAACTTTTGATGTCTCAGCTGATTCAATGTCAAATTAATTGCCAAATCGTTGTTGTAATTGCTAGTGTAACGTTTTGATTACCTGCCAGTTATTGAATATACTATACCGCATATGAATAAATGCACACACACCCAAACCCAAATACCTATACTCACCCGCATATGCATACATACATACATGTAGTATATATGTATGTTTGCATAGTATGTGTGCTTTGAATTGTAATAACCGAGCGTAACGCGAAATTAATGCACTACAAAGTAGCTTGTAATTAATGACACTAATTTTATATCAACATAAAAACGTAAACCAGATAACAACAACAACAATACATTTTTTTCCAGCGACCGTTATTATGACGCTGATTAGTGATGCTACGGTGCTTCGTACCCGCCTTTCAATTAACAAATTAATATCAGCTTTTGTTGTTGTTGTTGTTATTGCTTTTCTTGTTTCTGCTGTTGCACTAGTGCTGTAATATTCCGTAATGAGCTGCCAGTAATATGTGCTTAGGCATAAATTTCCATAGTGGTGATTGCAAATCAAAAAAAGCACTAAAACAATACAACAACAGCAGCAACAAAACAGCGCACAGGAAAACAGTGTGCATTCACGTACGCTTAAGCAGTCAATCAGTGGACCTCCGATGTATAATACGATTAAACCAGTTTAAATTTATAACCGCTTAACCATAACAGCGGCAACAATGGCAATAACCGTGCACAATTAACTGTAATATTTTGTGTGTGTGTGTGTGGGTATGCAGCAGCGGCAGCTGATAGGGAAACGTCACTGCAACTTAGCCGTGGAATATTTTTTAAAATCCTCACGTCGTTGGCAATGAAGAGTCTTGTGCCCATCTTCTTGTTGTTGTTGTTCGGGTTTTTTGCACTCGCTCGTTTGTTCTCGTCCTTATCGTTTGCGGCATTGCACTTTGTTGCACTGGGGATTTTCCTAAATGCGGCGTTAAAAGAGATTGTTGTTGCGCTCGTTTACTATTTTTATTTCTACTCATCCCTTCCAAATTGTATTTTTACATCTTTTTGATTATCGGCACTCAGCCGCTAAGAATAAAAATGAATTTTAATTTAAAAAAAACCTTATTTTATATTTTTTTGCAGTTGGCAACTGAGCAATAATTACTAAAAGCTAAAAAAAATAAACAAATAACAACAAAAAAAAAACAAAAACAAAGCGCACATCAAAATGGCTGTTATACTACATGAAGTTTACGACTGGTACAGAGATCTCATGGACAATCGAAGTGGTGAGTGGTAATTACAAATATGCGTAGCTCTACTTGTCGTTAAAACATATCCAAAACTATATGAATTTTATTTAATATACATTAATTGTGAAAGTGGCAAATTTTTTAAAATTCAGCTTATTAAGCGGTAGTCTCGAGCGGTTTGTCTAGAGACCTGAATTTTAGGTAATTTTTAAAGTGTCGTAAATCAATTTTTTAAGCTCCATTCGATACATTGTTAGACAGTTTCGACGTCATATTCATAAACCCATGTCTCGTCACCAGTAAATAACGTTTGATGAACATAGGGTCCTCAGCTACGTTGTCAAGCATCACTGCGACGTAGTCTTTGCAAAATATTCAGGTCTTTTGAAACGAGTCTAGCATTGAACCGCTTCATAACCAAAATGTGTTGAAGGGATCCGTAAATGAAGTTGAGATCCTTTGCTATCTCTCTGATGCCAAAACGACGATTCTTAAATTTTTCGATATTATCGCATGCGGCACGTTTTTGATGTCTTCACGAAAATTTCTTTCTTCGGCATATTTCTATCGATCATAAAAAATATATGTTGAAAAAGTTTTTATAGAGTTTTGTAGTGGAAGTGGTTTATAGAGCTCTATAAAAAATATTTACCTAAAATTCAACTAGCTTAGGCTAAGTGCATGGTGGGGTGACGTAGAAGCTTTTATCGCTACACTTCTTATCTTACTTCCTGTGCCCTTAGCTGTTTGGCTTCAAACCTAAAATAAACTAAGTTAAGATTATGCTATACTTGTATATATCTCTTGACTAAAGGGCTTAGAAGCGTTCTAAAATTAATCGTAAACATTCTGTATATAAAAATTTACGCTTAAAGACCGTACTATTTCAAGCATTAGTTCAATCATTTATAGTGAATAACTTTTTTGTTCGAGCATTTGCACTTAAAATATATAAATCAACAAAATTCACGGTTTGTTTAATTAATGTTTATTATGATTGAAGTTAGCCAATCATCTTCAAAGTCTTATGAGTCGCTTTCAATTCGGCACTTCTCTTGTGAATCTGCAAACTAAAAGCAACAACAAAGTTATCCAGTTGAATTCAAAACAAGAGAGTACGTGGATATCATATTAAAGTCGCATAACCTTTTTTTAGACAACCCATTTTAATTATGCCAGTTCATTTAATTTATGCCAATTTTTTGTTCGATTCGCCACTCTTCACTGCATATATTTGTTGAATTGAAGACAGCTACAATTTCATTATTTTTTCGCTCACTTCTTACCAAGTGGCAGAAATGCTTTTGTTTAGTACATAACATATTACATTAGTAGTAAGCCCGATCATTCATAAAGCTTTGCACGTGTGAATTTTATGGTTATTTTAAGTATTGATTATTTAAATGACTCAATGCCGGTTTTTAATATTCTATACATTTTACAGATCCACGTGTCAAAGAGTGGCCCATGATGTCATCGCCATTCCCCACCTTAGTAGTCTGCGTATTCTATGCCTACTTCAGCAAATCGCTTGCGCCGCGTCTGATGGCGAAGCGAAAAGCGTTGGATCTGCGCAAAATACTCGTCTACTATAATCTATTTCAGACAATATTCAGCGCGTGGATTTTCTATGAGGTGACTTTTCGATTTACCTTAACTCACATACATGAATCAGCAAATAGAAAGACTAATTTAATTTAATTTTGTTATTCTCGCTTTGCAGTACTTAAGAAGTGGCTGGTGGGGTAATTACAGTTTCAAATGTCAGCCCGTCGATTACTCCAACAATCCAATGGCATTGCGTGTAAGTGTGTTTCTTTAATATCCTTATTTTGATTACATAATAAGTACGAATTGTCTAGTAAAGTGTGTATGTGTGTATGTGTGTGCGTAAAACATATATAAAAAAACATTAACTTCGATTGCACCGCAGCTATAATATGCTGCTCTTTACAAATAAAAACGTTTTGCATACAAGAGCTTGACTTTGATCGGTCAGTTTGTATGGCAGCTATATGATATAGTGATTCGATATTGATGATTCCGACAAATGACCAACTTCTTGTCGCGTATATACAGACAAACAGCCGGAGAAACGGACATGGCTAAATCGACGCAGTTTGTCAAGTTGATCCTTTATATATATATACATATATATATTTTACAAACTTAATGGCAAACTTAATATACCCTGCTCAGGGCACAATAAACACATACACACAAAACACATGCACACCTAGGCAGGTACATAAAATGTCAATTATATGTTGGTGAAAGTATTTGCAAAATTTTTTCTAAATCTCCGATTATGCTTAAATTGTTATTATTATTGTAGACTTTGATGCTATTCATAAATGCGCTTCATATATTCATACATTTACGGTCGCATGTAGTAAATACATACATAATTACACAAACATACATACATATATTTGATCGAATTTATTTTGATTTTGAACTTTTGCATTTTCACTCGCAGATGGCACGTACTTGTTGGTGGTATTACATTTCAAAATTCACAGAGTTCTTTGATACGCTATTCTTCATCTTACGCAAGAAAAATGAACACGTATCAACGTTGCATGTCATTCATCATGGCTGCATGCCCTTCTCCGTATGGATGGGCATGAAATTTACGCCAGGTAAAAATCGGCTTTTAGTTGCTAGCAGAGCGCGCCTTCAACAAAACGCTTTTTTTATGTTTTTTTTTGCCAAAATACGAAAATTAACAACAACATAAAGTTACTAATTCATTCACATTGAACACTCTTTCACCACTCTAGGCGGTCACAGCACATTCTTCGCGCTGCTCAATACCTTCGTACACATTGTCATGTACTTCTATTATATGATCGCCGCAATGGGTCCCAAATACCAGAAATTCATCTGGTGGAAGAAATACCTAACCACCTTCCAAATGGTAAGTCGTCACTAAAATATATGGCTGTATTTGTAATTATTAACATGGTTGCTTTTAGGTACAATTTGTCGCCATTTTCACGCATCAGTTTCAGTTGCTCTTCAGAGAGTGCGATTATCCCAAAGGCTTTATGGTTTGGATTGGTCTGCATGGCATTATGTTCCTGTTTCTATTCTCTGACTTTTATAAAGCCAAGTACACAAATGCACGTGCCCGTAGCGCGGCGGTGAAGGCCAACACAAATGGTTATACCAAACTACCTGCGTCGAATGGCAAATGCATACCAGTCAGTGATGATGATTTATCCAATCATTTGGTGGCGTCCAACAACAATAAGGGTGCTTGCATGGTGAGTACTTGTATTATTTATTTTTTTATACTCTCGCAACTTGTTGCTACAGAGTATAATAGTTTTGTTCACCTAACGGTTGTTTGTATCACCTAAAACTAATCGAGTTAGATATAGGGTTATATATATAGGGTTATATATAATGTTCAGGATGAAGAGACGAGTTGAAATCCGGATGACAGTCTGTTCGTCCGTCTGTCTGTCCGTCCGTGCAAGCTGTAACTTGAGTAAAAATTGAGATATCTTCATGAAACTTGGTACACATGTTTCTTATCGTAAGACGGTTGGTATTGCAGATGGGCGTAATCGGACCACTGCCACGCCCACAAAACGCCATTAATCAAAAACAAATAAATTGCCATAACTAAGCTCCGCAATAAGATACAAGACTGTTATATACCCATATAACGGTACTGTTAAAAAATACTAAAAGCGCGATAAACCAAGCACTAAACACGCCAGAGACAATAAATTTTATATCTGGGATGATATGAGATGACTTTATAGGAACCGCTTTCAAAATTAGTCAGTGGGCGTGGCACCACCCACTTTTAGGGGGAAACCCCATATCTTGGGATCTGCTTAACCGATTTTATCAAAATTCGGTGCATAACGTTCTTTTCATATTTCTATCGGACTACAACCACGCCTATTTCCCATATAACACCATTTTCAATTCCATCTGATTCTTCCACTTTCCACTATGCATAACAAGCAACAATGATTATATCGGGGTAAAACTTTGCGTGAATAATACGTTTAAAGTATGCCACCTTGTGACCAAAAATTGTTTAAATCGAACCAAAACTGTTCAAGCCCCTAAGTACTAGATATGTGGACCCCAGTGCCTATAGTTGACCTTCTACCGAAAATATCAGTCAATCCACAAAGAAATCTCAAACGAGTATACCATTTGACTTTGCGAGAGTATAAAATGTTTGGTTACATCCGAACTTAGCCCTTTCTTACTTGTTATATTTTTATTTTGTGAAATCTGCTTGGAAATTTTCAATAAGATTTGTTGTTGTAGTAATAAAAAATGATATCAAAGTTTTCTGAAATATCCTTTTAAACTAAACTTACTGGCTTATGCCTTGACTTAGTAAGCCCTCACCGTCTTCTAATTGTTTATAACGATTTTCTCAAGTAGGTCGGGTCTAAGTGACTAGAAAGGATGTGGTCAAGAAGTGTCAGCTTAAAAATTTGCTCTGTCAACCTAACCTAACATTGCTTAAAATTATCTATATCTATACACCACAGGTTTTTGTTACTATTGTATCTTCAAGAAAATTGCATTCGCAAACAATATTTTAACCTCGAATACAGTTCAAACTCGACAATAAATCTTATAAACATTTAACAAAATTAGTTTCCACAATAAAAGCAAAGCAAAAATAGTAATCGTTCGTAATGTCAATGCCTTCATGTATCACATGCGCATACATTTTCAGCACACACAATAATTTGTACTTTGTTGCCCATTTTCATTTATGAAAAAAAATAAAAATGTACGCACAAATGTTTCTTTTCTAAGTTCTATTTGATATACACTTAAGCCACTGCATATACATACATATGTCGATTAGCAATCAAAACAAATTTATATAAATGGCCTACCCTAAGTCAATTACCATTTTTAAAAGCGCTTCAAATAAATTTGTGCCAAGTGTTTAGGTAAACCAGCCTAATTACCGAACTAACATCGAGCAGTAAACTAACGCACAGGTGCCAATTCGTTGAGTTATTAACATTGACGTTGCCATTATTGTTGTTGTTTTGCATGTGTAGCTACCAATGTCTATTACTTCTTCACTGTAAAAGTTTTAAACTTTAATTCAAGTAAAATATTTTTGCAATTATATAATTCAATGTCTAAAGTGTAAGTGTTTAATGAATTGACCGCGGCGCGTGGTTGACATTTTGGAATGTTGGCATTTGTTTTTCGATCCTATCTTCATAATTTGGAAGTAAACATTTTTATAGGTTCATTTGAAGAATGTAGTGCTGTAGCAGTGACGCATTTGCAGTAGTATATACATATTTACACATGGAATCGTACATTTGTGTATACATATTTGATTTTCTTTTTAATTCATGAAGTTATAAGAAACTTCAATTTTCAAAACTTTAAAAGCATTACTCGCTTACTTTTGAATATTTTGTAAAAAATTATTTTAATTGTATTGTTATTGTGAAAGAAAAACAAAACGTTAACTTTGTTGTGCATTTCTTAAAGCGTAAAAGGTATTAAAAAATACTAATCTTGCTTTTAATCGGTCAGCTTGAACGGCAGATATTTCTATAGTGATCCGGTGTGAAAACTTTTTTTCTGAGTTGTAGTATTGCCTTGGACAATAACCTATTCCAAAGTTTGTGAAGATAACTTGTTAAATAAAAAAGTTTCAGTGGTCCGATCGAAACATTTATTTGTAGATTGTAGCATTGTCTTGGACAATACTCTAAGTCGAACTTCGTGAAGAAATTTTGTCAATTAAAAAAATTTTCGAATACATGGACATGGTTTTGAATGGTCATATATATATCCTATAGTAGTCCGAGATCGACGTGTGCACAATTTCAGATCGATATCTGAGGTACTGGTTGGCGTAAATACAGACAGGCGGACATTCTTAAATCGACTCTGTTCGTCACGCTGGTCATATATATATATATATATATATATATATATATATATATATTTTATATATATATATATATATATACTTTACAGGGTTGCCGATATTTCCTTTTGGGGGTTACTATCTTCGTCACAAACTTAATATACTCTGTTCAGCGTATAAAGATAATGATTAATCTGAAAAGTTTGGTACTCTTGCCCATTTTAATTAACACGAAAGGGTGTTCAAGGTGTCATCGCAGAAAAGTTACCGTTTTCAAATCAGTACAGCTGAAATTCTGCTTACATAAATACATACATATATGTAAATTAGTAATCAAATAATAATAAAGTCAATTATCATATATTCATGTGCTAATGTGTATCCTAAAATAATTTGGCTAATGGTTTCTTCCGCTACAACAACAATTACAATCAAATGTTTATTTTTTGATACATGACAAATGTATAGGTTCATTAATATAATAATAATTTATTATTATTATTTATAATTTAAATTTATTATTATTTTTTTTTTTTAAATTAATTATTATTATTTTTTTTTAGTGTTTAAGCACTATTGCCCATTTTGCTCTAAAAATTTTACTTCAATACTGTTTTAGAACATTTTTAATTATACAAGTATATATACTTTTTTAAATTGATATGAAATTTTAAATTAATTTCACGTTTCTACATCTTTTTCCAATTCTCCAGCCCGTTATGGACGAGGAAGCCGAGAGCATCCAGCCCAATCATCACTTCACCAATGGCTATAAGAATGGCTACGCTAACGGTCATGCCTTTAAAGAAGGCGATGGTGTGCTATCCACCAACGATGCTATACTCAATCCGGACAGCAGTAGCTCTAGTCTACACCAGCGAAAAGTCAAATAAAGCATAAAGTGTAACAAACGAAAGCAGAAATAACCAGCAAAGAATAGTTAGCACTTAAGCATATATTAATAACAAAAAACCAACAACAAAAAACCCATACACACAAAAAAATTGATTATTTTTTATATATACATAAATTATATATTTAATAATTTAAATCGAGTAAATATGGAGCTTATATATATATATATATATATATATATATGTGTATATTTAAAAGTTGGAAAAGGAAACACAAGAATTAATTATAATTAAAATACTATACATTATAGCAGCAACAAAGAAGAATATGTTCTAAGGTCAAGTACATTTGTACATACATACATACATTTATTTCTAGACATAATCTAGTATCACCAAGTTGTTCAAACAATTTGCAGTAGATATGTATGTATTTAATGCAAAAGAAACAAAGAAAAGAAAGCAAAACAAAGCGAAATGCAGAAAACATATGTTTCATTTAGGCAAACAAAAACAACACAAAAAGCAAAAATCAAATAAAAACCCCATAGATTTTATTTAAGTACATTTATTAGATATAGAAGAGCATTAATTGCGCGCCGCTTTCTTGTAGATTGAGAAGGAGTAAGGAGGGAAAGTAAAAGCGAAGTCAAACAATTTATTGTTATAAATTTGTAAGCATTCAAACGGTGTTTTACATCATGCACACGCATAAATTATGCAAAAAAAAAAAATCACATATACCTATATATGTACATACATATGTGAAGAAACAGAAAAATGCGAATCTTAAAGTTTTACACAAACTTGGCAACAACAGGGAAATAAATAATATAATAAAATGGACGTCTACAAAAACTATTGTTAATATTGCGACAACTACCGAATACTAATATTATACATATACTACAAAAGCAACAAGTACTACTATCAAGCGACACTACTACCACCAAAAAAGTTACAATTAAAATTCTAATTTTTTTTTATTAAACTCTACTACTTTATAGTGCAGTTATGCGCGTAAATTATGCTGTTGCATGCGTGCACCTCTCAACCATTGCGATTGTTGCGCAATTAGAGCAATGTTACGGCGCCCATGCGCAGTGTGCGTTTGTATACATTTACCTACCAATAACTTAGACTTATGTAAATGTATTTATAAAGCGTTAATAATGTAAATTTTTTATATATCCAGAAAATAAAAGTTCGAAAAAGTAACAAAAACAAAAAAAAAAATAACAATAACAAACAACAATGTCAAGTACACTGATAGCACAGCATTTTATGTATTTGTTGCAAAATTTAAGAGGAGAAAAAGAAAAAATGAAAATCAAATAAGCAAACGATATTTTGTATAGAAACGGGGGAGGTATTCTATTTTGTGGACAAATAAGTAACTGAAGAACAAACTATATTTATAAATATGTATGTATATGCCTATAAATATTTACAAATATCTCTACTTAGTTAGCTGCGTCCTATTAAACAATATACTCGTTGTACATATATATATGTATTTATATACTACAATACATGACAGACAGTGCGTGCGTATGTGTATAGTAAAAGCATAAGTGCGAGTATGTATATATAAATATGTATGTAGATAGCAAGAATGGATTTTACATTTGTAGATAAATTAATGCTTAAGCGCTATTGTTCGTTTATTCTTTGTATTTTTATTAAATCAAAGTGAATGTAATGTAAAACTTAACTGTTATTTAGCAAGAAATTTTACGAAATTATTAATTATAACTCATTAGTTTTTGTTGCATTTTTTGCTTTTCGTTTCATATGACGTGCGTTAACGGTAGTTTTTGGTTTTACTTTGCAAATATATTTTCGGAATTTGTATTTTTCACAAACACGTAAAAGGCAATAGTTTATATACATACATATATACGTTTATATATACTATATTATATTATTCTCCTTTTGCAAGGGTTACTGGTAGTCAAATTTTGTTTGTATATTCTTTGTTCAAAATATGTATGTATATCGCGTAATTTTCATTCAAAACAAAAAATAAAAAGAAATTCTCTTTTATACAACACAAACATATAACATTCACATACGAGTAGATATGTATTGCTACGCTTAATTATTATTTGCATACTTTTGTAAGGTTAATGTGCCTAATGTGTCTACTTTATAATGTACTTTTGTAAAGTTACTTAGTGTAATTCTGTTTCTTTGAATAAACTCATGAATCCATACAAATCGAAGACAAAAGCCGTTTCATTCTCAATCCAAGGAAAGTTCAATACTTTATAAAGAAGATACTTTGTTGTTATTACGTTGTAGTTGTACGTCAAATTGGAACTTTTTTCTGTATGTTGGAACAAGCTAATTTTTTCTCGAGCCATTGAGTCCTAAGTATAATTTCTCCGTTTATTTGAGTTAGCCTCCCAGACCGAAATATTTGCCTTCGATTTCGAAATTGAACACTTTTTGAAAACATCATTATTTTTTATTGTATGTAAGCTACTAAAAAGGGAATCTTATATGTCAGATGCTATAAAGTTTTAAAGGCGGTTCAATATGTTTGAAATATAAAGTTTTTATTTGTTTAAAGTTCCGACTTTGACTCCTTATAAAAACTAAATTATTAAATTTTTATGGTACGTTACAGTTCGAATTCGAAAAAAAATTATAAAGTAAAGTAGCGCGAGTGAAATACTAAGTTGCATACTTATATTACACAGGAAATATTATACTTTTGTGAAAACAAACCATTTATGATGTCAATAATATTGACAATTCGCGTAGGTGTGCCTTGGACTGTAGTGGTGTAAATCTATAGAAACAGAGAATGTACTTTCGCGCCAGCGTCTTTAAGCAAGCGGTAGGTAAGGTTAGAATAAGTTACTTTATCATCAAAACCCCACCATGAGATAACTTAATTTAAGATGTGGTTATTAACCTAAAATCGCTCAATGCACTAGCTTTTGAAGTGGTTGCCTTAACAGTTTTTTCTTTTTTTTGCAAAATATGACAAACTGTTCTCAAATGTAGATGTAGGTGTACCATAGGTCTGATCTTCAGCAGTAAAGCAGAAATTATATCGACTTCTTTGCTGAGTAAAATCTAATTGAACGATACACTCAGGTAGCTCTATCGGGACTTAAAAACAGCCTGGAAGCGAATAAAAAAACGGTTTAAAGAAAAAGGGTTGGTATCACTCTCGTTGCAGCAGAAAAGTCGTTATTGCTTATCTGATCATCACCAAACAATTCAAAATTTTTTGCTCATTCATGTAGGGGCATGATATTCGAAAACTATAAGCATTGTGTTTATTCAAACGGGGCTAGTACGGACGAAAGATTAAAAAAATTCACACAATTTTATCGAGTTAGCTTACACTCTACAGCGCGGGCTAACAATTAACCACAAATAACCATACAGTGATGATTCTGAGCAGTTTAGGAGATCTAGAATGATTATAAATTCGTTAAATTTTTCAATCGGTCATTGTCACCTAAGTTGAAGTACGGTCCCACCATTTCACATCAGAGTCTAATCGACATCCATCTGAGTAGGCTGCACATTATAGGCCGAATTCAAAGTGCTTAATGGTGCAACGGTCGAACGACAAAGTTATGGTTCCTATATTTTGAGATACGTGTAAAATATTTTTCCTTGACTATCTGGAAAAGCGAAAAATCATCAACCACGTCTTTAACATATGTAATTCAAACGATTGAGGACTGAAATCAGTCAACGCAAACGTTTGTAAAGTTGTATGAACTGAGTTTCGAAATGCATCCCCATCTCTCGTATGCATCGGATCTGGCTTCTACGCACCTTTTATTGAGCTTTTCTTGATCACAGTTTCCAAAAGCGCGCAAACTAACGCAGACACGCGTGCAACTAATAAGTCGTTTGCATAAGAAAGGGATGAACGATCACACGTACACAAGAGTTTCGGTTAGAAGTTCTGGTAGCACTGTTGGGTAACTATCCGATGGCTTAATCGATATGTGCCTTACAGTGAGGTATTCGAGAGAAATGCAGTGTTATATTAAAGTTGAAAAACAAATCGTTCAAAAGTTCACTATAAATGTTGTCTCCTCGTTCTCATTATCAACTATGTTGAAAAATGCTAATAAATATTGAAATTCGCAAACTGTGTTTTCCTTTAAAGTGATATGAACTTTCAGCTTGCTTGCTATAAAAATTGACAAATAAAATGGAATAGGTGGAGCTCATTAAGCGTTCAAAGTTAAGAGGTCTCGAAACAATTCTAACACCGCTTGTATACAGTAACCATTAAAGTAGCTCTTCAAAATTTAGGACAATGCGCTGCAACAGCACGGCCTGTGTAATTTATGCGACTGCGGTGGTTTGTGTGTGTGTATTTAGCACTTGAGAAAATTTGCGCAAGCGTAGCAAGCAATTAGTTGACTGGCAGTTAAATAAAATTAACTTTTTGTAGAATTCCACTAAATGAATTCGCAATTTTAGTACAATATATTAATGGAAATTATGCGTTGACAGAAAAGTTCTAAGTCATGATTACTATTATTTTTACGATGCTTGTTGTTATTGTACGAGGCTTGTTTCGACATAAACACACTTCAAATAAATGCATTCTTCGCATTTTTTTAAATCATCGTATTTACTCGGCTCAATTGTGTAAGCAAATACAAATATTGGCATGTAAAGTTACTATAATGATTGGCTGGAAGCTGTTGTGGCAGGTGCGGGTGGGATACATGTGGTTGCATACAATACATACAAACACACAATCAAGGTGACCCACAAGGGGCAGCCAATCGGAACTGAAAAGTGGACAATTTTATAATTGTGCTAACGCCTCGGCCAAAGAGCTGAGTGTGCTCACACAATCAAGTGGAATCATGCGAGCAAATACATACATACATACCTATGTACACATTTATGTATGAACATGCAACAAAGCAAATACAAACTAATGTAAAAAGGCAGTGGCATATGAAATTATTTCACGCTACTTAAAAATCTGACAAATATTTATTAGCTGTTGCATCGGCGCATCTACATATATATGTAGCTGTAACTGTTTAATCGATAACAAGCTTGTTCGTTATACAATGCTATCGACAGGTGAGAGTCAATTAAAGTCCGTAAATACCAAATCTGTATGTAGTCGTATGTATGTATATATGTATGCAGTGATTATTCCGAATAGTTTTGGCGCGTTAATATTTACGTAAGGGTTTATAAAACTTATTAATGTTTAATTTACTTGTTGTTGTTGTTCCGTTTTTTATACATTAATATTAAAATATGTGATTTAATAATTTGTGATTTATATATATGCAGCTAAAATGCGGCGGAGTTTAGACTAATTACAATTGCTAACTCTGGCAGTTACATTTAATGACCGTAATTATATTAAATTCTGCCACTTACCTATTAGCACTTGCGTAAACTAAGGGTACTTATACTATACTTATATGACATATGCATGTACGTTCAACCCGCGTTTTAAGCGCGGAAATTTATTGTTACTAGTATGTAAATAAAGTGGTTTTATATCTGCTAAAGGTGGAAAAAGGTTCGAGAAGAAATTCACAACAACCCACCACTTTTTGATGATTTGAAAACCGGTTTGGATAACTAGGAGACAACTTGACATTCTTGTTGGGTCACTTTCAAACTATTTCTCTCTGGTAAAAGTTGCTGAAGCGTGAGCATCCATATAGCTTCTACTACCCTTATGAAAAGAGACAGCTATTGATGATTTTACCTTACTTCAAAATCGACTGTTCTTGATCACAATAAAGCCTTTATCTATGATATAGAATGCTATATTTTATATATTCGCAAAAGAGATGCTTGGCAACGTAGCTGAATACCTTGCATTTATTAAACGCATCATGACTGGTGACGAGATATGGGTTTATGAATATGACGTCGAAACTGTCTAACAATGTATCGAATGGAGCTTAAAAAATGAGCAACACTGAAAAAAACAAAATTCGCTGAAGGCACACTGAATGCCATCCCAGCCGAGACTTATAACAAGTGTATGGAAAGTTGGATTAAGCATTATCATGCTTGTAATGGCTTTATGTATAGGAAGAGATACATAAATATAATATAGTCTTGAAGTGACAACTATTCATTGCAATAAGGGATATGGTACCTGATCCAAAAATAACTTCGCCTCTCTCTCAGTTCCACTCGTTTTATTGTAAATATGTTTAAAATTATTAGAAGATGCTTTTATTCCGACATTTAATGTAGTATGGAATCGCATGTCTCGAATCTCGCTGAAATATGCACCTTTTCTTCGAGCCATTGGTAAGTCAAGTTTGAAGCAAAAGTTAACAAAAGTATGCTTACCCCAAAATAGGATCGCATTTGGGCTAATTACGATTAGCACTTTGTGAAGCCAGAAAAAGAACTCCGTTAATTACATTTTAAGTGTCGATAAATCGTCTTGTAGCTATTAAAAATCTATCTATCAAACGTTTAGTTTTTATTTCGCCAGCTCAACTAATCAAAATTTATCCAAAGGTAAGTATCCGATGTGTTTTAGCATTTGGCAAATGCACGGCAATCAAGTAGAAAGTGCTGAGTACTTGCCTTTTTCCAACCAGCTTCTAAAAATGGCATCCAGTTAGAGCGCCTACAGTTAGGAAAATCCTAACCTTGCTGAGGTCAAAAAGTTCGCATATTCTCTTGCGGTTTACATTTGTCCAGAAGGATATTGCGACCGCACAGCGACCGATAGTTGCACAACCCCGTGTTATAAACTTTTTAGTTCCCTAACTGTGACTGATGGAATAAATATTGTCTTTCTTATATCAAAATTTAAATACCTCTACCTCCAATTGCATTTTTTATGGTAAACAATTTAATTCACAATTGAAATACACATATGAATACCTGCATAATGTAAACTTTTCTTAATAATTACTCGACGTAATGGTGAATGACGTCAGTGAATAACTTCTAAGTAAACTTAATAACGGTTGTTACGAAAAAGTGCATTAAAGTGGTTAAACATCAATTAAAAGGCAATATTTTGTTCAATCACAATTTAATTGAGTTAACACATCGGTCATGACAAAGATCACTATACAATTTTCATAACCATATAAAAAATTAATTATACACAAAAAACAATAATAAAATAATAAAAAAATAAAAACCTTTGGAAATAGAACAAAATGAAACAACTTGTTGTATGCAAATGAATATACAATATATTGTAGATATATAGATATAAAATCTTAAGGCGGTTCCACAAAGTAGATAGTAGATAAGTAGAGCGTAATTCCTAATATACAAAGGGAACTATTGTAGTTCTTTTTGATCTTTTTTGTATCGTGATACTTTCAATATGTAATACCGAAAAGGAAACGTCGGAGACTCTATAAAATATATATTGGGTATGAAACACTATCAAGAGACTTTATTATTATTTACTGCAATACCAATATATCGAACAATCATTAGGAAAGCTACTGTCCTTGTGCGTCATTATGTTATTCACTATTCGAGGCAATAATTTTCCATCATGACACCGCTAGGCCTCATGTTGCGAGACCGTTTAAAAACTTTTTTGAAAACCAGCCGCCGTTTTTTTACCCGAAGTTTTACCCAGACCTTGCACCTTCTGAATACCATTTGCTCCGATCGATGCAGAACACCCTCACTGGAATACGCTTCATGTCAAAATAGTGTATCAAAAATTGGCTTGATTCAGTCTCGACCGCCAAGCTGGAACAGTTCTTTCGGGATGGAATACACAAATTGCTAGAAAGATGGAAAAAAGTTATAGTTTCATGAAATTCATGATTTTGAGAAAATACCTCACTAATATAGTTATACTTGTAGACCTAATATATAAATGATCAGCGTGTCGTGCTGAGTTTATTTAGCCATGTTTGTCGGTCTGTTCGCATCTCTATCTGTATATACGCAAATTTGTTCAGGTTTTGCGATATCGATCTGAATATTTGCACTCTTTTTGTTCTGCTCAAGAAACCGCTGTTGGAACCGCTGTTATCGGACCACTATAGCATATAAAAAATTTGACAGCCAAAAAATACATACATAAGTTCGTAACGTCATGAACAAAAGTATATAAGGGCTTTGTTCGTTTCGTTTATGGTGTAGTGAGTCACAATCTTGTTTTTATCATTTTTGGGATTGAATATAGTCTTGTAACTCTAATTGTAGATCTGTTTAACCGTTTCACCCACTTTATGGTTAAATATCACTCATAACAATGACACACAAGATACAGTTATGGCGCTTTGTAGATCTATTTTCGCGTGACAACTTTTTCATATTCGGAAATTCGACGACGCAATTGACTATTTTTGGAAACCAGTTCGAACTATGATAGGCTGAAATAGGCTTTATTTTCCAAATAACTGTTTTTATGGAATTTTATTGTTATTGTATACCTAATTTGCCGGTATGTTGGCCATGATCGATAGACCATCTTTTTCATATGACCTATTATATAATATTTTCTATTTGCACCATAATTACATTTAAATTTTGCATCAAGGTCATGACGAAATTGTCAAATTTTTCGTCATTTATATGCATGATTCGAGGGCCACCAAGTTCCGAGTCAGCTCTCAGTCACTCTCACTCTTGTTGGATGGTTTTTTTGTTTCTCTTTCCGGCGGCGAATACAAATGCGGTTGTCGCTGAACAGGCTACACGTGACCTTGGTAGGGGCCCACGTAAATTGCTCTGGCACGTGTTTGCACACAGTCGCTTTTTCTGCATTTACGTATTTAAGCTCATTTGGACTAACCAATGGTGTTGAAAAGATTAGCTTAAAAAAATAAAAACATATATAACGAACTCAATCTTTATTAAATTTAAAGAGTGTCTCAAAATTAACGCAAGATTGGAATTAAATAGAAACACAGTTTTCAAGCTTTCCATTGTAATTTTTTCATTGAATCATAAAGTATGCAGGATAGGGTTATTTGTGAAATAACACATCGGTCAAATGGGCACCACAGCATTCCATACACATACGCACTCGTTTGTCGAAATTTTCCTAGACTATTCTGCAGAAATGTGGCTGAATTTCATTGACGCAACGTTGCATCTCCTCCCTAAAGCTCGCGTGGTTGAATAGATTTGTGATTTTAAATAACGCCATAAAAATAAATCTAATAATATTAAACCACGCGATCTAGGGGGCCAATTCTGATGACCAAAACTAGAGAGTACTCGACCTGGAAGTGTCTCATGCAGTAATTTAAAAATTTCATCCGGTTGTGTGACAGCAGCCGCCAAGCTTTCATTGTTTTTAAAATATTTTTCAGTACGGAAGACACGTTGTTCTATCGTGTAACGCTTCATTTTTACTAAGCCTAAACTGTCAGCAGTCGATTGTTTTTTAGGGTTGTCAATACAAATGGCGTCAAATATTAAACTTGCGTTTATTTTGGCACACCCTGTATATGACCTATATATATAAGTATCTAAATAAGTTTGAGTTATTAACAGAGACTTGTATCCTGTAGTTGTGTGGTGGCCTTGCTAGCGCGCCGGAGTTGGCTTATAATGCAGTCAAAATCTTTGAATATAGTATTTTTTCGTAGTTTTGGCTGCGAATTATACATTCCGATTTTAACTAATGCTTCTCCGTTTTTTTACCTACTGTAAATAATACCCTTCTTCCGAATAGCACCAAAATGTGTTTTTAAAAGCGGTAATCCCTGAAAATACAGGCAATGGCAAACCCTTAAGCAAATTTCTACAATAAAAAAGTACGTTCAGAGTCGCCTTAAAGTTTATCGTACGAGTATTTGATCAAGACGCACAACACGATTGCAAAACGAAACTCGGTCAATAATATGTCAAAATTGTTAAGGCAAATTAAATACATTCATTTATGATATACTATATTCCTTAAGGATTTAACTACTTTGTGCTTGCCTAACCCTTCTAACGTATTATAGTTGAGTCATAGAGATGTACACTATTTTCGTTATTTTTTAAGGGTAATGAGCCACGCGTATACATGTTTTGGTCCTTAGCGATACCAGATAGAATGCTGTTACGTAGTCCATGAGGAGTAGACAACTCTTGGCAATCTCGTCTACTATATCAGTGAAGTCGCGTGTTCCTTATTATCACCACCGCTGCCCTGCTTCTTAATGCACTTATGTCCAATATGCGAAACGATCTTATTCCTTTTCCACTTTTTTCCCAATAGCAAAATCCTCTGCTCTAAATAAACTGCAGTGGTCCAGCAGCTCAAAATGCTGCCTTGCTTCGGACAGTATAGCACCGCACCAACTCCGTCCTCCGTTTTAGAGCCATCCGTATAAATGTTTATTTATATATCTCTCTACGTTTATTCTGAATCTGTTTTCCCAATTGCGAGGTAGGATCACCGAGCTACGACCGAAGGTTCTATATGTAAATTGTCCTGAAGTCGCCATGTAGTCGTCTCGTTGATTTTGCATCGCAGTTTTCAGCAAAGAGGTCTAAAGAGGGCAGATTTAGTATTAGTTCCAGAGAGACCGATGGATTCAAACCCAGATACGCTTGCGATGCCAAATTCTAGACAATATTGATAGTGATGATCATAGCATTAAGATGTCAATATCGTTTACATCTGCTACTATCTTGGACTATAGCTTAGTACAATAAAATTTGATAACAAAAATATAATAAATCCATCCACAATAGATATGGGGCTAGACCATATACCTTCATTATTTTAATAAAAAAATTAATATGCAACGATCGATGTATTTTGAAAATAATCGATTATTAATTATGCTTTTGTAGCTCTCATCCCTAATAATTGAATAAGAGGTATTCAGAAAAGCAGTATATATGTTGCTGATTGTAGAATGCACTCTAGTTGTAAACAACATTTACAGCAGCAACAACGACTAAAGTTAATAGCTTGCGACTTGCTTAACTGTAACGCAAGCACAGCTGCAATGTACACGCGCGTAGATATGTATGCATAGAACAACGCACAACGCACAACGCATGCGTAAAAGTCGACTGCGCAGTAAAATGTCCATTGTGGGCGAATGTCTACGCAGCAGCCGACGTCAGTCCACTAAACGGAACCGGCAAGCTGCGCTCGCATTCTCGATTTCATTCTCGATCTAGTTTGAAGCGAAAGGCTCGTCCGAACGGCACTGTCGCTGCGGATGTCGCAGCCGGCGACAAAACGCCACGACCTGGCGGGGACTACGTTTAACGGCACGCAAAACGCCAAAACAATTTCAGTCCCCATTGAGAAGTCAATGTGTGCAATTGTTAATTCGTTCCATCGTCCATTCGTGCAATTATATTGAACTCGTTATTAGCTAGCCTGGTTAACTCGCTGATTCTTACTTGGTTGTTAAATTATCAACAAAACGTGCCAAACAAGTCAGTTGCTTAGACAGAGTGTGTGACATAGTGCGTCCTGTTGGTGCAAAAAGCAAAGCAGAAAGCATCAAAAAAGTATTGAGAAATAAATTGCAATTCGCAAATTGCAAAGAACCTGTCTGTCGGCTAGCGTTTTTCGCTTACAACGATCATCGATTGTCTGACCGATACGCCAGTTGGTGTTTTACAGTTTTGGCAATTTTCGCTTTTCCTTTCCATACGCCATTCGCTGTGGAGTTTTTCCTTTTTATTTCGGAACTACTGTATGCAGGTGTGTGTTTATCAACACAAAAACAATTTATGTTTTTTACGAGTAAATTTTGAAAGAAGGGCGATGAAAAGTTAATGTAATAAAATTGGAGAAAAATCTTTAGAACAGAAGACAGATATCAAAAAGGAGCAACAGATATCGAGAATAAAAGCAGCGACAGGACAGACGACGAGTTTGCGCAGCATAGGCAGACGATTCATAATCGGTAACAGCCTTCGCCAATGAGCTTTAAATGAAAGTGTTTCTGCCAAACTGTCAGAATAGTCTTGAAGTGCTAGCTCAGATGTCTAGTTGAGCTGCGATCGAAGCAAAACGCATCCATGTGCATTTAGACGTGACAAAGCGGAAACATTCAAGTCGATAAAGCGATAGGAAAAAAGTGAAGCTTAATATAGTAAGAATATTGCGTGCATTTCAATAATTCAAATCATTCTGTGAATTGCAAACGTGTTTGAACTAAACAGAGTGTTTCAATTAGTGTTGGATCAGAGCGCCTAGGCGGGAAAAGTATACGAGCAAACTAATAGGTAAGTCAGCTTCCATACTATATATTAAATATTTCTAAATTCAGTGTTATAACAAAAAAGCCGGTCTGAAATATAATAAGATGGGACTTTAAAGTCTACTGTTTTGTTTATGCCGATGAGACATTCTCATACACAATGTCTAAAATATATGTACATACATATAAGTAAGATAGATGAGTTGATTTTTACTGCCTTTCTAACTGGCTACCTACGCAAAATTGTTTGGATTTTCACATATAACATATGTGTTGACATAACCAGTTTTAATAGATTGGATGTACATCTATGGCATATGGTCCCATACAACCGTTGGTATAGGCATGGAATTTTGTTTTATAATTCATTTAACTATCATCGAGAATACCATACCAAATACTTATCATTGTAACAGAAGCAGCTTCAATTATTAGTCCGAATAAGATAAGAGCTAATTATTTATGCCTTCATTTTTTAATTCGTTTTCCCTACGTATGTAGATGGAAGATATCAAGCCTTCGATTGAGATATTTAATGGCGAAATTAAGTTATGTTGAAAAGTTAGTTAGCTTGAAAGCTTAGAAATAAATAGCTATATGATCCTACTAGATCTGGAGTCTAGTAGTTCTAAGTTGTTTTGATTTTCGTATTTTTGAGTGTCAAATATTAGCGAGATAATAATATCTTTCTTGGTTACAAGCATATTTTCCGAACTACAAACACGGCACTCCTTTCGTCTTAAGAGTAAGTACGATCTGATCAAATCTGACCCGAAGTACCAAAAACGACTTCGCTTTCACGTATCCTAATACAAATATTTGTTATCGTCTTCAAAATAGCTAAAACAATCATACCAACATATAATCCAATTTTCCACATACTTGTTATAAGCATCAGCTGGAATGGTCTTCATGCCTTCAGCGAATTTTCGTTTTTTCGGTTTCGGCTGATTTTTGAAGATCAGGTCTTTTAATATGAGTGTACCAAAATGTGTTGCGTCACAACATAAGATAGTTGAGATGCTCTGCTATCTCCCTGATGCTAACACAACGATTTTCCAACACTACTTCTTTAACTTTTTCGATTATATTGTCATTAACACATAATCAGAGGTGGTTGTCGGGTTTGAACCTCCCTTTGGGGCCGTTAAAGTAAAGTTCGACATTTGCTTTCATTTATTAACGGAATATATTTAATTCCACTTGTTCTGCAGTACATACTTCAATGTTTCTTACTGTACGTATAGATGAATCGTGCACTTATACCCATCGCTTTTAGTTTAAGCAGTTTACAATTTATATGGCAAATTTTTATATGCAAACTATTTTCCCGTATAATAGTATTAGCCTATACTTTTATCAACAACGCTATAATTTTCTTCCAACAAACCATAATTTTTCAAAACCTGCCCTTTCGAAATCCTGGAATCGCTGCTTACTCTTCTAGAATATTCTATCTTTGCACTATTTCCGAAAAATTACTAAGCGTTATTTTAGCCTCTTAGAAGGATAATAACGAGAGGTAACCCATATTCCAATCCTCTAATTTCATGAGTAAGAAGGTAACTGACATCTGAAGAATAGGAAATTGACGAGTCTCTGTTCGGTATTCTTAAAAGAAATGTGTAAATTAAACGGGATATCGAAGCTAGATATTTTTTATAAATATTGTAAGTAAACGGTTTCAGATAAAATGTATCTTTTCTGTGCTTTTGGTTCTCAAGCTTTCTGTCTGATGAACTCAAAAACCCTTGAACTCAGTGGAAACCTACAAATTTAATTATTTTAAAGCCTTTCGCTTTCAAAGAAGCATACTCATCATCATTTTGCTTCCTCAATTAAATGCTTATATCTGGTTTCAATTTGTATTATTATTTACAAAAGCAAAATCTTCCATTCACCATAAATCTTACATGCACTTAATTGACCCTTAACTTGGCAAAGTTTTCCAGTTAAGTGGTTTGCCTTTTCTGTTCTTGTGTAACAACTTTCGAAATGCATCCCAATCAGAACATTCTAGATTATCCTTGAAGACGCATAAGGCATTAATACCAGCGCAAGCCATACAGGAACAATAAAATTAGTTGGTTAATGACGAAATACAGGGGAAAAAAGAACTCACTCAAAAAAAAGTGAAACTGTATCTAGAGACAAAAGAGATAGCAGGTCTATCATTACGACGGGCAATGTCATTTAAATGAGATAAAAAGCGAAATGAGCAGGAAATGCTGAAATTTAAAGTGATTCGAAAGTTGTTTCTCAACTGCAATAAATGTCGGCTGAGACCGCTGTTTAACCGCAAAGCACACAACAATAAAATAGCAGCAACAATTGCACCACAACAACTAAACTGCAACAGGGTTCGAAACTTCAGCAGGGGAAACAGCGACTAAGATGCTGCAAAGATCAGGGTCACATTAACGGTCATCAGCCGGCCAGCATGCGGTCAGCATAAATTTCTTAACGCCGTTAATGAGGTAACGTAAAGCTTACTCCTTTATACGCAAAGCAAAAAAAGAAAACAATATTATGTGTAATCATACGCACACGAGCGGCAGTGATGCCCTTGACTTTTATAAGTTAACAAACTCCTACCGATATAATTGGTTACTGCGGTTGTTGCAATGTCAAGTGCAAGGTTCGCCAGCGTTTTTTGAAGACTATGCTTCGGTCGATGCTGCTTGGCTGACTGTTTGTGCTGAAGGAATGAAACTTAAAACAAGCGATGAGAGCTAAAAAGCCATAATGCTCTATTGTAGATAAAAGTCATAAAGGTTTAATAGGCTTAAGCGAATATGTGCATAACCTGGTAAAAAGTTCTGTTTGTGCTTATTGCGGCTCAACCGAAAAAATGCATTATTTAGTTGTCTTCCAAAATAGTGTGATCCCTACACAGCATGGTAAGCCATGATTTTATTTATACCTCATAAAAAATATAATATAAGTAGCACTGAAATTCTAAGATAGAATTTGAAAAAGTGTTCAAGTTTCCAACTTCCAAGATCTTACGACCTCTAAGTTCTGATTGAGAGCTAAACGAGGGGTTTACCACGATTTTTTCGTGTTTTGATATTGATAAACTCACAAATCAGTACTTAATATTTTGAATTTTGAAACATTTTTTTCTCTGAACGGAAACAGGTTCCCGTATTTGGGTGTGTGGGATGAGCTTCCGAGGTTTTACAAAAAAATTAAATCTTTTGTTCAAAAGTTGTAATCAAAAGTTCATATATTTCACCAATGCGAATTTATGGTCTCAACCGTCTTTGCATGCTTCTGGTGAATACAGACTTTCGAAACTTCTTAATTTTCAATTCGCACCAGGAATCACCTGGAATTCACATATGCGTTTTATATCGCTTATAAGGAAATATAGGGGGTATTCTAGTCAAGAGATATTTTTAGTATCGATTTTTTGATCAGTTAGTCATTAATGTTACAAGAGTACAGAAAACAAAATTAAAAAAAAGTTCAAAATTTAAAAAACTGGCAGCTGATAAAGTGGCGGGTCTCAAAGAATTTCATTATTTCAGCGCTTCTAATCATCTGAAATAAAAAAAAAATATTATCAATCTGCAATGATGTCGCATTTGTATGAACTAGCGATAACAAAGTCTTTTGTTCCATTAGACCCAAATGTCTATATCTCCGAAAATAATTTAAATTTTCAAAAATCCTCTCGTAGACATATTTTTAAATAGTTACACTTTGAAACTATGAAAAAAAAGATACCTTTTTGTTTAATTCTACACTAGCATACCCCCTAAACGGTTTTTACGAATTGTATGTTCGTACACACATGAGTATCTTTTATTACTCCGCCTACCATTTTGCGCATTGAAATCCTAAATCTCAAATATATTTTTATAAATCTACATCCTTGTCTGATCAATCAGTTTTTAAGTATTTCATGTTTGATGTATGATGTCTGGCAAAAATTTGAAGCACCTTCATCAGAATTCATGTCAACAGTTCTTTTTTTCAGCAAAAGCTATTTGCATAGTCATTTTATCTGATAGACACACTCTTCGAATAAGTTGTTGGGTTTTTTAGGAAAATAAAAAGTTGAAAGTAACAAGTGCCACCGAAAAAAATTGCAAAATATACTTATGTGCGAAGTCATGATCAAGTTTTGGGAAAATATTCTAACGAATGCACATATTTATGTGTAAGAAAAGTTACTTACAGTTAAGATAACTTAATCAAAAGAAAAATAAATTATCAAATTATTGATGGTTATAGTTAGTATAACTCTACTATAAACAAGAAAAAGCGTTAACTTCGGTTGCATGGAATTTAGAATACCATTCACAAATAAACACATTTTTCATACAATAACTTAATTTTGATATCGGCGTTTCCGACAAATAAGCAGCTTCTTGGACTCTCTGTTCATTGTATACAAATAAATTTTACATATGGTTTAGCAAGTTTCCAATATCGACTTCTGGTCGGCGTGTTCAAAGGTTAATTATCCCATAATCCTTTATAAATTGCAAATTGCATTGCTTTTCAACTGATGTCAAGGTTGTCCAATTTATGCCAATTCAATCGGAAAACGATTATTTTGAAAATTTGTATGTATATAGTTCGGATTATGCTGTAACCAATGATTGACAGAAATGTTCGATGTATGCTTTTGTATGAGTACGTTCACACCGAAGCGAAACGCAGTAAAGCCAAGCAGAACGTTGGGCAGCTCTCATCTTTTTACGCTTTGCCAAGCAACAGTCGCCATTTTTATTAACAAGTAGACGGAAGGCAAAACTTTCATTCTGGCATGCCCTAGATTGCTTTACCTTATTGTTAAATACTGAATTGTCAAGCAAACCGAGGAAAGTTGTATGTGAATCGGCCATAACTGTCGCAAGCCTAATACTGCATTCAAACAGATCAATTAAGACGCAATGCGGACTCAATTTTGCTTAAGCAATTACTACAGTATTTGAAAGCTGTCTAAAAACTGTTTCGATTTCGTTTGTGAAAACTTCCTAGTGAAAAAAAATGTGATCAATTAACTTTGAA